AAAAGTTAGCTGAAATATCTCAAAATAGTTTGCTTACACCAGCAGAATAAGAATAAACTTCTTTATGTCCTTCCCGATCACGAAGGCATTGAGCAGTCTGGAACTAGTTTGACCGGTCGGTTAACTGTAGAGATGAGATGCATAACTAACGTTATAGTTTTCCATTCTCTTTCTATAAGATAAAATAAAAATTATTTTCTTTTCTGTTAAGTTATCCGTATATAGTAGTGTTTATATCAGAGTTCCGTATTGACTCCAGTCCAGTCCAGTCCATACGGAGCCCTGGTTTATATATAGTACTGTTGCATTTGGACGAAAGGAGAATGAATAACGAAACTTTCCCTTTCATTCATGTCATATATCTATTTTTTTGTCTCTCTATGCGTTAATTGTTTTCGTGAAAGTGTGAAAGGAACATGTAAAAAAGATGCCACAAACTCAAGTAGCCTGTTATCGAGTATAGCGTCTGTCTTTGCTATTACCTTCTTCTGCGAAAATCATGACTCATCCTTTCACATACTGAGTGAAATGTATCGACATATTTTAAAAGGATATGACATAAAACTTCCACTTTCATTCTTTCACGAATGTGAAACTGGTGAAAGAAAATATAATAGCACTACTCAATTTCGTCTCGTTTCGTAACCAAACGTTAGCCATGTATAGAACGAAAAGACGTTTACATCTTACGATTCTCATTAGGCACATATTCTTTCTTCTTATTTTTTAAGCTACCCGGTTAGCCGGGCACTCCAACCGCCCGGTTTATCTGTAGATTAATCTACTTCATAACTTCCCCGTATATAATGCATTTCATATCTGGAACTAACTGAACCGGTCGGTTAATTGCCCAGTTGGAGCTCGATCGATCGGTCGGTTAAGTGGGCGGTTAACCTAGCTGATAACCTCCCTGTGTTTAATCTATTTGATACCAGAAACTAGCTTAACCGATCGGTTAAGTGGGCGGTTGGAGCTAGATCAGATAGAGCTAGTTCGATCGGTCGGTTAAGCGGGCGGTTAACCTGGATCATAGCCTCCCCAACCGCCCGATCGTATGTTAAACTTTTTAAGGTGGCGCTAGCTTAACCGAGTCGAAAACCGTGTTATCTAGCTCCAACCGCCCGATTCTAGCTCCATTTTTTTTGCTGGAGCATTTTATCATCTGTTCATTATGTGCTATTTGGAAGACCTCCCACGGAACGAAAGTTCAGATCCGATTTCTGCGACCAGTTCCGCCTTGTATGATCTCTGCTAACTATTCCCTGAAGTCCGGAGTTATTTTGGACAAGGAATGAGTCAAATATAATTTATGGCGCTAACAGACGAAAGATATGTGTCTTCGGAAAATGTCTGTATCTCCCGTACCAAAGGAGACGAAGACCTGAGCCTTGCGTAGTTTTGAAGCGAAATGCTTTGACTATCGATTGGTATTATTTGAGATTGAATTTCATAATGTGGTTTGGAAACGGTAAGCTTTCGGATTTTGCCCCGAATGGTACACCATGGTAAACCTGATCCGGAGCCCTGATTTTTTCATACATTTAAGTCCTAAAATGTCTAATTCTAGAATCCGAAACACGCAGGTCTCTAGCTGTCTCCTGCTGAAAGTTATAAGCATTCTCGCTAGGGGTCTTCTTGTCTGCTAGACTCGGACCCAGAAACTTTGTATCTACGCCCTCAACACTAAAACAAATTATGTCACCCCATAGAGGCGAACCCGGTGAACAACGTTTCACGAACAAATTTGTTTCGGAATGTTTTTGTAAGAATAAGGGACTCGGTAAGAATTACTTTTGGCACTAGGTGCAAAATAGCTGGGAAAATCGATTTTTTCAATTTTTAAAAAATTCATCTCTCCGCCAAAACTTAACCAACCCGCGAGTTATTGCACACGTATACCCTTGAAGATGTCCTCTACAAACTGGCAAAGTTTGAGGGTATGTTAGGGGGGGTAACCCCCTTAAGTACAAGCACACTCGAACAGATGTATAAGTCATACATTTTGCCACTAAAGAATTATGCTGATGTTGTATATGTTCAAAACAAACTCCAACCGTAGTTAAATCCATTTCTAGTGTTCCAACTTATTTGGAGCTTATCTCGAAATTACAGTATGAAGCCGGACTAATAGTTAGTAATGCCATGCGCCTCAGTTCTCCAGAAAAGTCTTCAGGATTTCAGAGTGGCTTTCACTTGAACACCTTTTTGTTGCGCATAAAATTATATTGCTATTCAAGATTTTTAGAGGTTTAACGCTTAACCTAGGAACTGGTTCTAGAGCAAAGAGAAAGGCTGTCTCTACGCAGAGCTTAGTGTTTGAAAGGTAAAATCTCCTAGGATTACTACCGCCTTCAAAGCGTAGCTAAGTTTCAATGACTCAGGTCAGTTAGGGAAAAAGGACTCGTTTAGAAACCGGACACAAAATTCTACCTGTACAGATGCTTATCGAGTCGGACTCAGCCGCACGAAAGATTCACTTAAAGGGTACGTTTCAATACAGCGTTTTTCGAACTAACGAGTAAGCCGAAGGACTTATTTGTGGAAAATTGCGCTTCGGAGCTTCCCCTTTATCACTGACAAATTGTGGAAAGTAGTTTACAATAATTCTTTTTGTTTTGCATAGTCTAATAAGCAGTTATTATAGTCGTTTTAGTCCATCCGATCCTCCTACTTGATCTATTCTTACTATTTGTTACTTTTGATGGGAAATAAATGAAGTGATAGTAATATTTTAACAGTAGCTAAATTTATATGTTAACTCTTTCGTCTTTTCTTAATCGTAGTTATTTCGACGCTCTGAGAATTTTACTTTAATTATCAAAGAATATTAGATAAAACAACACATAAGTAGAGTTATTATACACAAACACAATAACATGATCTTTCATTCTTACGTGTATATATTAATTAAGAAAAACTAGCAAGAAGAGTGAAGAAGGAGAGAAAGCAAATTTTCTATTTCTTCTTTCGGCAAAAACGAAAAATTCTTCTTTTTATATTTGTACATCATGAATGAACGATGACATCACCTCGAACAGATTTGTAATTTAGAACGTAAAATTGCTTGGCTCAACCGATAGGATCAGACACCGTACTTCTCGATAAACCTTCTGAATATATACATATTGGTACCAAATATGTTGTTTAAATAAGAGAAGATTCATAAGATTTGATTATTAGTGACATTTTTATAAGTGACCTGTGCAAACTTTTTTGTTCCAAAAATTTATCAATGCAGTCCCACATTAGAAAGACTTGAAAAAACTAATAATGGTCCACTCAAAGTTTCAACCTGAGACCTACAACGTGCTATGGTATTCTTTTAATATGACATGACGAACTACTATAATGATAGTTATCAGGTCATTATATTATGATGATACCGATTTTGGACTTTTTAGTCAAATCATTTGAAACAATAACAAGTTATCTCAAACTCAAGTAATTTTAATTTTCTCTGATGATTCTCATGTTTAACATTTTGAATCATAATTTTGATTGCATCAACAATCCCAATTTACTTACAGGTGGTACGCACATATTTCAAAGATTCTTGTGCTCCTGCACATAGTTTTGTCAATAGTTTTAAATCTTTCTTTTGTTATCAATTTCCTTCAACTGACATTTTCTATATTCTTTTGTGTACATCATTCTTGCGCTTGAAATTTTATAATAGAGAAGTTTCGGGATCAGACTGTTCTCTTTACATTTTTTTTTGAAAACAAGAGAATTGTATAGAAGCAAGTGATAGTTAAAGTGGGCGGCCGAAAATTCACCTACGTCTTTCTTTTCTGTACACTTACTAGTGGCAATAGTTAGTTCATATGGCTGAAGATTCTATTATTTTCTTTTTCTTTACTGACTTATAGAGAGATATGGCTACTAATTTTAGTACGAAAATATAGATATTGAAAAAATAAAAATGAAACGAAGAGACTGAAGGAAACAAAATGACCTTAACAATTCAAACATATTTTCATAAACTCCTTTTCCTTTATGAATGTTCTTGAAAAGCTTTCTAGAAATACATATAACGGTACAGAAAGATCGTTTAAAATTAAAAATGCACAGTCTTATTATGCATACACAAGCTCTTCGATCTACCTTTTCTGTAAACGAACTTCACCGTTTTCTATTAACGTTACAATATCAGATAGTTGATGCAATGTTTCACCTCCCAATTCAACTGCATTGAATACTCATGACAGTGTAGAACCTAAACCGGCATCTAAGCACCAGACACCATTAGCTAGGTTTTCCTTAGAACAATGCGATCAAAGATAGATGTAATAGGTAGATAACTATTACACATAAAAAAAGCAGATCAGGTTTTCCTGAACATCCTACCGTTAATGTTATGAAGTAAAATTGTCGTATAAGAAATAGTTTTATTGATTGACGTATTCAACCTCGTGATACAGGGGTGATGCTTGATTATTAAGATAGAAAAAGAAAAATGAAGGAAGTTAAACGAAAAAATTAAATGAATAGTCTTTTACACACGCACATGTTCTTCGATCTATCCTTTCTCCAAACGAACTTCTCCCTTGTTCATTAACTTTGCCATATTAGAAAGTTGCTGCAATAATTCGCCGGTTAGTGGAACTGCATTAGGAGCTATATGACCGCAATAGATCCATTCACCTTCTAAATTTTTTTTCATTTTAATCTAGTTTGTATCAATTGCTTGATGAATTTTAGGCGCCCATTCACGAGCCTGTTGTACCGAGATGTAGTTTTGATCCGTCAGCAATCCATAGGCTCCAGCAATCTGGAAAGCTTCAACCAGATTGATTATTCCATTGACTGTAAGTCTATGGTCATACGAAAAAAAGTTGGTCAAACGAAAAAGTACAAAGTGTTTGCGTGTTTGTCCGTACAGAGGTGTGACGGACGTAAGCACACACAATGACGGACGTACATACATATAGTGACCAGTGAGTGTGACGGATGTACATACATATGGTCATGTGGCAGTGTGACGTCCGTCACACTGCCACATGACCATATGTATGTACGTCCGTCACACTGCCACATGACCATATGTATGTACGTCCGTCACACTGCCACATGACCATATGTATGTACATCCGTCACCGTGTGTGCTTACGTCCGTCACACCTCTGTACGGACAAACACGCAAACACTTTGTACTTTTTCGTTTGACCAACATTTTTTGCAATGATTCACCTCCCAATTCAACTGCATTGAATACTCATGACAGTGTAGAACCTAAACCGGCATCTAAGCACCAGACACCATTAGCGAGGTTTTCCTTAGAACAATGCGATCAAAGATAGATGTAATAGGTAGATAACTATTACACATAAAAAAAGCAGATCATGTTTTTCCTGAACATCCTACCGTTAATGTTATGAAGTAAAATTGTCGTATAAGAAATAGTTTTATTGATTGACGTTGATTGAAGTTTTATTCCACCTCGTGATACAGACGGATAGAAATAAAATTTTACTTTGCGGACTAATATTTTCAGCTTTTCAAGGTTCGGCAATCGATTACGAAGTCACTATCCTGATTTGATCATCACTTTTTCATTGTAAAATTCATTCTAAAAGTTTGTCTGTCGTTATGGATATCGTTTCTGATATTCGCCACAAGTTTTACTCAAATGCGCCAGGAACACCCGTTGTTGAAACATTTAATATAAATAACGTGAATCGTATCGATTCACGAGAAATTATTTAAAAGTTGCTCCCGTCTTCTAGGAGGGGAGTGAAGAACGCCGAAACTGCGATAAATGTGACTTATCTGGAGAAAAATGCATAAAAGTATATAGAATAGTGAATAGTGAATGTATGAGATCAACGAGTCGCACGTGTATAAGTTCAGGCATGGCATCGGATTTCTTGAGAGTCCCAGGATCAATATTTCTTTAGGTGTGGCAATACCGAAAATGAATGGAAACACAGGTAATCGACCACGCTAAATCTCGTGGCAACATTTGTTTTTCAAAACACTAGTGAACCTATACTAGGTGAAATAACCCATTTTTGCCTAGTTTTGAGTAAAACTAAAAAATTCATAATCCGGTCAAGATCCATCCAAACTACGTCAGAATATCAAGATGTACTCTATTTTACCTGCTGTATATGTTTTTTTACCTCAGAATAGTAGAAAAGATTGTTGTACTTCGGGAGATTTCTAGAAAACCTTTTAGAAAACCAAAGGATTTTTTATCGACTTTTATAGTTTGTATTGAGCTGCGTCATATAGAGCAGGTAAAATAGAGTACATCTTGATATTCTGACGTAGTTTGGATGGATCTTGACCGGATTATGAATTTTTTAGTTTTACTCAAAACTAGACAAAAATGGGAGTGTGTCAAAATCAAAGCCTTCTAAAGTTTGACGAAAGTTCGATCACTTCCCCTAGCTCAGGAACCTCGAAATGTACTTCTATACGTATATGGTGCTCTTTTGACGAAGGATGTGCGTTAGGTTTTGGGCTTCAATATTATAGGGGTTTTGGGTGATATTTTGGTGGGATTTATTGGTTCTGATGACATCGAAGAATTTGAGGGCTTTTGGCTCCACAATATGTCAACATTATTTGGCGTGTTTCACCGAAGTGTAACATTTCTGCTGGTGTATTGTATTTAACCAGTTCTCTGTTTAGATGGTGGTAATGATGATGAGGTGATATTTATGGAAGAGCGTTTTGGTGAGAAGAGTGGATGGAATGGAGAGGGTAAGCTAATTTCTCTCTTAAGTATTCAATATCACTTTATGTGTATTATTTTTCTGTTTAGTTTGTGGTAATGATGATGAGGTGATATTTATGGAAGAGCGTTTTGGTGAGAAGAGTGGATGGAACGGAGGTGGTAAGCTGGTTTCTCTCTTAAATAAAGCGCCGTTAATTGAAAAGCTCAGCACATTTCTTCTTTTGGTTTTTTTATACATCATTCGATAGTTGAGACCTGAGAAAATTTATTTTTTCTGAATCAGGAGTGAAAAAATCCGAATTCTGCCGGTAATTCTCTAGTTTTTCTATGAGAACTCACGTTTTATCCAATAAAAATATTATATTCGGTGTTAGCGTCGAAAACTGAGCAGAGAGGGTGATATTCCTCATCAGCTTGAGGAATTGTCCATCGAATGATGTATAAGAAAACCAAAGATAAAAATGAGCTCAACTTTTGAATTAGCGACGCTGTATGGAAGATCGGATTTCCTGTACCATTTTTCTGTTTAGATGGTGGTAGCATGAGTTAACGTTGATGGAGGAATAACGGACGTGTAAACGTATTTTATCGTGTTCTTTTTCGTTTTACTTTTATTTTTGATTGGTTACAGCTTTTTTATACTTGTTGCGCTGGTTGTTTTAAATAAATGAGTACTATAAAGAGTTGTTAAAGTTGCGATAGTTCGAACACGGCCAGTCCACGTAACGGTAGACTTTTATGTCAAACTTGAAGTGCGAATTCAGTTAAAAGTAACACTCCTACGTTATAGAGGATAGTGAATAACGTATAAAAATGCTTTTTTTCATATTCGTTCTGCATTCATTTTTTAGAGAAAAAGGTTTCTAAACAGATGGCGCTCAGAACAAGAAATGAACAGCGCACGCATAAGTTTTTTTATTTTTACTGGAGGCGAAAAGCCACTTGTTAATTCTTTTCGTTTGCGGCTCGGGTCGACAGCAGAACAAGTAAACGTATTTTTCACGTAAAAGAAATTATTTCTGTGCCTGGATAACTGAATCATCTGAATTTGTAAACGTGGTATTTTCAGGAAGTGATTCCGCCACGAAATTTCTCCACAGTTTTATTTTTGTTATACTAGTGATCTTTGCGGACGTTCAAGTTACCTTTCTAGAAAGAATTTTTCGAGCTCTATCTAATGCACTAATTTGTTTTGACTCAAATATCTTTTGTTAACATAACACAGTGTGGCAGAATCACACACGATTGACCAAGTTTGTTTTTACGAAAAAACCAAATTCTTTGTTTTATCATTTTTCACCCTTTTAGGTTTTTCTGAATTAATTAGATGCAGTTTAAATTGTTTTTCGCGCGTTTTCTTTACTTGCACACAACTAATCTCACATTTTCTTACTCGTATCCTACTCCCGCTGCGATTTATAATTCAGATAACTTTTATAGATCTTATCTTTGACGAGTATTCATGCCTTTGAGTGTCGCCGAAAGAAGTCGAAGATATCGGGAGCGTTTGAAACAAAAAGGTGACGATATAAAACGGAAAGCCAATGACTGTCGAAGGAAAAAAGTTAAACGAGCTTCATTACCGCCAGCCCAAGCGGCAAAATTTCTGGATAACCATAGAAAAGCTCAAAAACGATATCGACAAAGATTAAAAGCCAACAATAACAATCAAGTTCTGCCAAAGTCAGTGGAAATCACTGCGTACACTCATCATCATTTTACACAATCATATTTTTTTTTGTCATTTAGTTCTACATATTCAAAGCACACTTTGGGGAAAGCCGTAAATAAAGTACTACGTGCGTTGCCCAATGATCCTAGTCAACAGAAGCAAGTTCTTCAACATGCTGGTCAAACTCTTGGTTTGTTGCCAACGCCCAAAGCAAAAAGGACACAGTCGAATATACCCGCACGAGTAATTAAACAAATTGAATCTTTCTACAAGCAGGATTCAATATCATGGCAAGCTCCGGGAAAACGGGATTGTGTAACTGTGAAAGAAAATGGAGTTAAAGTCAAGCGTCAGAAACGACATTTGCTGTACAATATTCGCGAGGTTTATGAATTGTTTATGTTGGAATATCCAAGTAAGGAAACTGATAATTCTTTTGAAGTTCTCTGTGTGCACAATTTTAGATGTGGTAATTAGTCGATCATCATTCGCCAAATTACGGCCTAAATTTGTGTTGTACAAGAAAACGTTTGCCCATCGAGTGTGTATCTGTGTGATACATGAAAATATTAATCTGCTGTTGGAAAGTCTATCAAAACAGATCAATGGTTTTACTAGTAATTTGCGTGAATTTACATCGAAGATGGTGTGTGATGAATTGAATGAACTGTGTATGATGACGGAATGTGCTAGTTGTAAGAACTTTCAGCAACAGATTATGGCTAATATTATTGATGAAACGAAACAAATCAAATGGTATCAATGGACGAATAAAAGTGGTCGTGCTCAAAAAGAATTGTTCGAAGGTAGAAAAAGATTTTCCTTTGTTTCTAGCAACCGCTTACGTTTGTTGAATTTTTCAAGCGCTATTGACTATTAATAGTATAAATTTTAGCATGTTCCTAGGTCTTTCTTTTCATGAATGAAGAAACGATGAAATTTAAAACTTTTAATTTTAATTTAAAAATTCAAAATATGAGTCGGGGATCTGAATTTAGCTGTAAACCCTTGTCTAAATCGGATTATTGATAAACGTTCTCATGCTTCAGGCTTATTGCAGGAACTGTGGCTAATTGTGTTAAAGAACTGAAAAATAAAACGCCACCGTTTTTATGGCATGTTTTCATTAAACGTAAACAAAGTGAATATTTTGAACATATTAAAGAGAATGCTAGTGATCGAACGGTGGTGTGTCAGGTGGATTATGCTGAAAATTTCATCATGGATGATCAAAATCAAATTCAGTCAGCACATTGGACAAAAAAACAGCTGTCAATTTTCACAGCCTATGCATGGATGGGAGAGAGTGGTGGTGTTGGCTATTCGTTCGGTCTTGTGTCAAGTTATACAAAACACGCTAAATTCACAGTTGTTACTTGTTTAGAAATTCTAATTAATGAAATAACGGGCTTGATGCCGGATGTTGATGAAATAATTTTCTTTTCTGATGGGGCAGCAAGCCAATTTAAAAATCGATATTTATTACGTTATTTAACACATTTGAGGGACAAAACAGATCTTGATATTAGTTGGAATTATTTTGCATCATCACATAGTAAAGGTGTGGTAGACGGCATTGGCGGGACAATAAAGAGATTGGTTTGGACGGAGATTATGGCAGGAAAACGTTGTTCATCTGCTGATGAATTTGTTAACATTTGTCGCGAAAAAACTAAAACTATTATTGTTGGTCTTGTCAGACAAGGCCAATTTGATATCACGAAAATAACTCTTGAAAAATTCTTCGATGAAACCATTAATGTAAATGGTATGCAAAAAATTCATTCAGTTCACGTTTTACATAAAAATGTAATCGAACATGCTCGTTATTCAAAAAGAGCCAAATCATATGTGTTTCGGTTTTGAGAACAGTTGATAATAGTTCAGAGATATTTTATTCATGTGCTTTTTGTGGTTTTCTTTTATGACTGAGTAGAAAAACTAGGTTTACACTGTTTTATGTTATGGAAATACTAATTACATGTTTTAATTGAGATATCATTCACTTTAGGAACAAATAAAAAACTGAACATAAATGGTCATTTCGTGAAACGTGATTCCGCCACGACAGTCTTTTGTCACTGACTACGCACTCGAATTTTTATTAAATTTTCCTTCTTTCCTCAAGTTGCTTGCAAGATCTGCTACAAGTTTTTTGGCAAACATTTTCTCGTAGGTCATTCAGTTTTGCAGAATTTTTCACATCTTTGGACACAGCTAAAAGAGCTTGTCCATTTTTCGTGATTCCGCCACGACCTCTAATTTTTTAATAGAATTGAAGCTGCGTGACCAAACTGAACGATATTTTCAAGTATTATAGAGCACATGGCCGCATACATGTAGAAAAAATGCCGACTCTTCGTCTTCTAAAATGACCGAGAAAAATCAAATTTAAAATGAAAAAACGTGATTCCGCCACGATTGGACAGACCAAACAGTTCCTAGTACTAACATAGTTCCTTATATGCCTATACTCTTTAAACCAGGGATAGTTTCTCCCGCTCCTACTATTCCTATAGTAAGCAGGAATCCTATAGTTTCAATACAAGAATTTCGAAATGAATGCAATTTACATAAAGGAGGGAGGCGGATAAGCCCATTTTCCCTCCCTTAATATTACTGAAAAAGAATTACATATTCGGAATCAGCGTCAAATTCTGCATCGTTGTCTAATTCAATTTTCAACTTTTGCAACCCTACCCCTTTTAATCCAAGATTGCATTTTGTTAACTAAGTCTGCTTAGGTACTCCTCTTCCACTATCTCATATTCTAGTGTAATCTAACCATCTAATCATAACATCTAAGACACCATGTGCTCATTCAACATGCGATAAAGGGATTGGTATTTTTGCATGCGAAGGTTGTCAACAAAAGTTTTGTCGAAAACATTCGAACGAACATCGAGAAGAATTAGCGAAGCGACTGGAGACAATCGTTTTCGAGCATGATCTCATTCAACAGCAACTACAAAACACCTCGAACTCAACGACAAAACATCCCATTTTCACACAAATCGACAAGTGGGAAACAGAATCTGTGAACAAAATAAAGCAAGCGTCTAGCGATGCTCGAAATCAGCTTCAACAACTGTTAAGTGAACACACTCACGAAACAATGAAAGCCTTTCGACGAATAACTGATCATTTGAGAAGTAGACGCATCACTGAAGATTATGCTGAACCAGATCTCGATCAATGGACAAAAGAGCTGAACAAAATCAAAGATGCAATAAATCGACCGAAAAACATCGATATCTCTGAAGATTCGTCTGCCTCAGTGAAGCTGATTCGCGTTATGTCACACCAGACACACGCCAAGTACCACCCAACTACAGAAGAAAGATTTGGTGAAGTTGTTGGTGGCATCGAAGTGAGAGAGAGTGGTCAATTGGCTGTTTCAAAGTCTGATGATGATGCAAGTGTTTATGGTACTAGTCTGTATTCAATCGATGTTCATCAAATTTCGATCGTCGTGAAAATTGGGAAATTAGGTGACTGGATTTTTCTTGGTATTATATCCTCTTCAGATAGCAGACAGAAAAGAGCTTTGTCCTTGCCATCGGCTTATGGATGGTGTGGTGCCTCGGTTTATTTGAATGGCACTTTCAATAAGGGTTATGGTGGTTTTGATGGTGATATCATTGATAATGACAGACTAGAGCTAACAGTGAACTGTAGTGAGAGAAAGATTCAGTTGTTCAACAATCGTACAAAGAAAACATATGAGATACCGATCGATATCAGGAGATGCTCAGTGCCTTGGACATTTGCTGTTAATTTTGGATCTCCTGGCAACACTGTGCGTATATGATAAAGAAGAACTTTGTAACCTCGAGTTACATTGTAAGAGATGTTGACGTTGACAAAAGCTAAGAGTAATATTGCCTCCGGATAGTGCGAAGGAAACAGGTATGGATGTATCGCATTACCTTACGCTCAAGTTGTCTGTGATACTAGAGAACTTCGACAGTAAGTTGAAGAGATTTGAATGAAGTTTTCAGAACAAATAATTCGTTACAGATAAGAGTTGCACGGAATAGCCACGTTCGGACCCGTCTCGTCGGTTTGGGATGGTACGAGACGAAATGCTCACGACGCGACGAGACAGACTAAGAGCTGTTTCTTCAAAACTCCAGGGTTCGTCCTCTCAAATTTCAAAAAATAGGAACAGGAGAGGATTTTTCTACAATGTGTTAAATAATGTATTGCTGGGCAGAAGCTAGGAAATATTTCTAGCGCTTGAAGATACACCGATAGTGCTTTGTCGTACTCGCCCTTTTCGTGAATATCTGCTATATGTACAGTGTTGCAGCAGTAGCTGTAGCACGCAACGGTAGAGCGTTCATCATTAGGTCATAAGCCTTTTGATAGTTTTCAAGTGCTAAGTCAAAATCGCCTCTATCATTGTAAGCCAGGCCAGTCGCATTGTAAATTAACACTGCGTCTTCATCTCGAACATTGTTCAACAAAGTTTGAAGGTATTTCAATGTTTGATCACATTTTCCCGTCGTAGGCAGAAGTTCACCAAACATAACTGTCATGCTGCCCTCTCGATATTCTTCAATAATATAATCTTGAGCAATTTTTGTTCCATCCTCCGTCGCTTTTAGTTTAATTACTCACAGCTTCTGATCAGAACACTCTTTCACCGGCTTATGACCTAATGATGAACGCTCAGCCGTTGCGTGCTACAGATACTGCTGCACTATTGTTACATGTA